GTAATTGGAAATGGTATTGTATTTTGAATTTTAGTTACTGCCTGTTCATTGCTCTGAAGCAGTGTTTTTCCCCCCAACTTTTTTCCTCTGTGCTTCAGATTGGATAATTGCCATCAATCTCTCTTCAAGTTCACTTAGTCTTACTTCTTTTGTTTCCATTCTGCTTTTAAGCCCAGTGAATGTTTTATTTCACATGCTGTGTATCTCAGTTTGATGAAGGCCAATTTATCACTTTATTGCTTTTAAAATAGGCTCATAAAATCTAACCTAAGTGAGATTTCACCTCTTGGTCTGAGGCTTTGTCTTCCATTTTCCAATTAATAGTAAGTTATGAGTAAATATTCTTTACAATAAAAGACAAAGTCTATGCCACTGCTTTCCATTTTCAGAACTACCTATGGAAACCTTTTCTTTCCAGTCTGATGTTGACAGACCATTTTAACCAAAGCTGAATGAAAGAATTTGGGGCTTATAATAATTTTATTCCATCTTCTTATCAAGTAAGGAAGCTCTCCACCATACCTAGTTTGCTAAGCATTTTTCTTTTTAAAATCACAGATGTGAGCTGCATTTTATCTCAATCATCTATTGAGATGATTCAAGAAACTGTTTCATCCTTATTTATTAATAGTGGTGAATGATATTAACAGGCTCCCCACCCTGGCACTCCTGTGATAAATTCTTGGCAGTATAAACTGTCGGTTACCTGCTTGGCATCCAGTCTCCTTTTTATCTTTTCTAACAAAACTCAACTTGTGCTCAGGTGTCTCTTCCACTCTCAGATGATTCATCGAAAGCTGAGCGAATTCCCAGTGACAGGAGTAGACTGCCACTTCGTCTTAGCTAGATATCACAAGGTTTTTCCTGAGTGACTAAGGAAAGACTTATGTCCCATGATGTGGTAAGGCCCTATGGACATACAACATAAAATGCCTCTCCAGAGAAAAATATAAAATCAGAAATTATGATCTTACAGAAAATTCATATTTTTAATCAGTAGATTCCCTGGATAACTAAATTCATTGGACTAAGTATTATTTCCCAAATCAAGTGTCATTATGTTGTACATTCTGTTTGTTAAATATCTGACACTTAAGCATATGACATCCTTTCTTTGTGCTATAAATATTCTTTTTGCCTATTGTGAGTTCATATTATTCTTTATACTGGATTTTTAAAAAATTAATAAAAGAATTTATAAATATGGCAAATGTGAAGATAGGCAGTAGTTCATAAGTTGTATCAGCTTAATCTAAATGATTCAGCAGGGAGATTATTCATCTTTCTTGTTGGTTTTTGTTTTTCAAAAAGTTATAGTTTTGGGTTTATAAAAAAGCACAGTGTAACTCCTGGTGGTTAAGGTGAGAAATTTTGTCATCTTCCTGCTGCATCAGAACTTAATAATGAAATGATTCTTGTAGCTCTCTAAAAATTTGGATATATTGAGAATTTTTTCTTCGTAATTCTTTAGTGTGTTTCTGTTGCTTCTCTGCTAAATATGAACAAGGACACATATAGCTCCATATAATAGGAAAACAGCATATAGCAGTCATATGAGAATAAGTGACTGCTACAATAAAAATATTGTCAACTCTGTCAATAAAGAAGATTTTATTGCCTTCTCAAGTAACAGCTTCCCATGTAGGTAGGTGGCAGGTCATGGCAAGAAGACAGCTGTGCTCTATGATGTCATCAAAGGACCTGGTTCCTTCTATGCCATTTCTCCATCAACTCAGGATGCTGTCTTTAGCCACATAGGTGATGCCGCTATGTTCCAGAACATGAAAGTATTCTGACATATCTTCCTTGGATATGACATATTTTTCTAGGTATTGCTGGACTATGTTTATTGTCACTTTAGGTAGGATTTTAATGTGTATGTTGTCATTGAAGATTGGCAATTCTTTCCCTATTTAAATTCTTTCCCTACTGTCCTTGTCCAGTTTTGGTATCAAGGGTGTCTAGTTTTTAAATTCTCCAGTGTAGTTTTATAGGATAGGGATTATCTATTGCTTTGGTATTCACAGAAAAGCCTCAGAACTTATTTAATGATTTTCCATTTCTTCTTGAGTCAGTTTTGGTACTTATAATTTTCTCTCTGGTAAACCCTTGCATGTTTTAAATATATTGAGATAAGGCAATCATAGTATTTGTAAAATTCTAAAAATTTCTGTGATTATGTTCACTTTTTCATTTCTAATACTATTTATTTGGTTCTTTATTTCTCTTTTTTTTCCTGCTAAGCCATCTTTAGCATAACTGTCATCCTCATGATGTCAAGGTGGCTGTTTGTGGTGGACCCTATCCCTGTTGGACTGAAAAAAGGATGACAAACATAGGAATAAAGACAAAGACAAAAGAGTATATTTGGAAGAAGGGATATGGGGGCTCCTTGCTTCTAGTGAACAAGGGCCCTGAGCTTTTACAGCCCTTCATATTTATTAGGTAGAGTGAATAGGGAGAAGCGGGGGTGGTTGTCGGTCGGTAGCTTGATTTACAGCAGGCTTGCAAGACTGCATTCTTCAAACAATAGGCTCTAGATGTCCCATTAGATAACCTCAAGGAGCATGGCGCCAGGAAGTGATTGCCTTCAGCAAACCTTCTGGTGGCAGGCACAGAAGCAAGTTTGCCCACATTCTGCATTCATGATAAACAATTTGCTGTTTGATCATATAGCTTCCAGTGGAGTGTTGAGTTAGTCACAATCCCTTTGCCAGGTCTCTACAGCTGTTCTACCTGTTGACATCCTGTGTCATACCCAAGCAGGAAGAAGGTTGTGTGAGATGACAACAGGCCAGAGTTACATGCCAGCTGTGTCTCTCTCCACACACCCACCAAACCCCCAGCAAATCTGTACTTAAATTTCACTGGTTACAGAGCCACTACTCCTTACAAGGAAACTGGGGAGGTGAGCATTATAAGCCGGACAGGTGGCCACTTGAAGAGCATCAGTGTTCTGCTGCAGAAGGAGTGCAAAATAGACACTGGAGAGACCACCAGCAGTGTCTGCCACAGCTATTACATGGCTAGGTCCACCTGACTCTGAAACTAAGCCTTTTCTATGAGACTGAAGTGCTTTGAAGAGAAATGCTGGGCTTGTCCTTTCTGCTGCTTGTGGCTTTCAGTCACCCTTGGATTCAGAGATAGAAGTCATCTTAATTCTATCACTGAGGCCAGGAAACCTGACGGAAATCAATTCAACAGTAAGGAGACCAGGCGTCCAGTGTGACTGGGCATGCAGGGGTCAGTGCATCTGTGATGACTGGTAACAGCATCACTGCCTGTGAACCAACAAGGCCCTTGGCTCCCAGGATGAAGCTCTCCAGCTCTGACAAGGCCCCTGGGGGAGAGACCGGTCCTAAACATGTACAAGAATAAATCCATCAGCTAACTTCAGATCGTGATTCACACAAGAAGGGAACTTCAAGAGGTCGCCAGGGCTGGTATTTTTGAAACGTTAGGCAGCCCTCTCTGAGGCGATGACAAGTGAATGGCATAAAGGAGCCAGCCCTGACGAAAATTTGGGGTTAGACTATTCCGACCCAGGACGTGCAAATACATAGGTTACAAAATGGAAAATGGTATTTTGGAGGATGGGAGGCCCGTGTAGCCAGAGAGAACGGGAGGTGGTGAGGGCGCACCCAAAATCAATCCCACAAGCTCTCTATATCTCTTCCTAGCCCACACACATGCCCCATCAGAGTCATCCTCCGGACTCCAGAGGCACCCAGGATTGCCTTTCCCTTCCCCGTCGGCAGTGATGCTCCCGCAAGGAGCTGACACCCAGGCCCCACACCTGTCACAGCCAAGCACCCTTTTTCTCCACAAGCCCCTCCTCACCCGGCCTGCCGCTGCACCTACGCGACTCCCAAAAGCCTTTGGGGGGTGGGTGTGTAGTCAGGGCGGCCTCTGCTTCCGGCCACACCGAGGCCCGGCGTTGGCGACCAACCACTTATGCGGCGCTGCGGTCCAGGGACAAGTGGGAGAGACCCGCAGAGGGCAGGACTGACGGGCGTTAAGTAGGCCCGGGGCCAAACCGTATCTTGCAACATGAGCTCCGAGGACCGCCGCTTCTGTCCCTGCTTGGGACTACGCTTCCCAGCGGGCGTTGCGCGGAGGTCCCGCCTACTTCCGGCGGCGCTGGCTGCGCACTGGGAGCGGGGCGGGCCGGGCTGCGCTTGGCGGCGGGGAGGGGCGGGGCGGCGGGGAGGGGTAGGGAGGAGTAGGGAGGGGCGGGGCGCGGCCGGGGGCGGGGCGGCTCCGCGGCGCGGCCCCGTGGATACCGGGGCTTGGGGGAGCGCGCGCGGGGCTGTGCGCTGGGCGTGGCGGGCGGGTGTGGCCATGGGTGTGGGTCTGTGAGGGACCGGCCGGGAGGGCGTCGCGCGGCCTCGGGTGACATGCGGGGGGCGGCGAGCGCGGGTGCTCGCGAGCCGACGCCGCTTCGGGGTAGAGGCGCCCCCCGCACAAAGCCCCGGGCGGGCCGAGGCCCGACGACAGGGACTCCAGCCACCTTGGCCCTCCCTGCCCGGGGAAGGCCGCGCTCAAGGAATGGCCTCGCAACCAAAGGCCAGCGAGGAGCGGCTACTACGGGGCCTGGGCACAGAGGTGAGAGTGACAGGTGTTTGGGGCCGGGTGGACAGGGACGAATTCATCTCGGGATGAGATCTGGGAGGGGGTTGGGCACTCGGGGACCAGTTGCTGGAGAACTGTGCCCCTGGTCTTTGAAGCTGGTGGAGCGGGGGAATCTGAAGATTTGGAAGCTCAACTGACTCAGAGCGCCAAGCCGCGGTAAAAGGGTGTTGACTTTCCCAGGGTGACTCTAACTGGACACTTTTCCTCTTTTCGTGCTCCCAGGGAGAAAAAAAAACTCTCTCTACGTTGTGGCGGTTCCTAGGCAGGGTAATGACCTGATCCCGCCTGCTCATGCGGGAAGGGACGTTTCTAGGCTGGTGATTTGGGACTGTGTAGACCTGGTCTCTAGCTACTCCCTTCTCTTCCAGCTCTGCCTTCCAGGGACACTGCTCTTCCCAAGGAGAGAAACCAGAAGCTGGAGGCTGCGGGGACAGGAATTGAACCTAAAGCCATGCCCCAGGTGAGTTGGCATTTCATCTCTCGTCTCTGAAATGCAGTCTTGCTTTTTGGGACTTAATGTTGTTTATTTTCTTGAAATTTTTCAGTTTAAGAGACCTGTTTGGGTACGGGTTTCTATTTCTTCACATTCTAGTGAAGTGATGGGCTACAGGGAAAAGTTTAAGCTGCCCAGGGCCTCCATGCCTGCTGCTTCTTCATTCCAGTCAGCCTTCGTTCTTGATTGATGAAATGAGTCAGTCTCTCCCTTGTACCGCTTTTCTCAGAGGCACTCTGATGAAGGAAGTGTGCTCCTTGAGGAACACGGCAGACCCTTCTGCTATACGTGGTTTGTTGGGTGACCACTTTGTGCCAGCCACTGGACAAACCAATAGCTAAGCCCCATTCTCTGCTCTGGAGCTCACAGCCTGTTGACCCAATGTCAAGGAAACAAGCAAGATTCTAGAATGTGATCATCCTTGGGCCAAGTATTATGAGCGAGGACTACAAGGTGCTCCTGGCTTCCAGCCTCTTGTAGCGGAAGGGTAGGCGTATTTACCAAGGAGGTGATTTTTGAGCCTTGCCTTGAAGGGAGAGAAGATGTTTGGGAGGCACAGTAAAGACAACATTTTAGGGAGAGGAGGTGCAATGTGAAAGGCTTTCTTTTTCCCACTTGACTTTGTGGCTTTAAAAAATGCCAATAAATAGTTGTGTTTGTTTCTGTTGGCTGTGTCCCATAAATATCATAGCTAGCTCATTAATAGATGAACCATTTCACTTCCACTGGGGCCTCAAAAAATATATGTACAGATGATTCAGCTTCCTGTTGACCTGCCCAAACTGCTCTTAAGCAGGTTACTGTGATCTTCACATTACCAGATGCAGTGCTCAATTCTTAGTCTTTTTTGACCATCATTGGGATTTGAAATAGCTCAGAGGTTGGCAAACTTGTGCTGGATGAGGGCACAGCAGAAAATGTGTTAGGCTTTGAGAGTCTCTGCTGTGCCTACTCCTTTCTGCTCTTATAGAGCTAAAGTAGCCAAAGAATGAATGGATGGGCTGTGTTCCAGTAAAACTTTATTTACAAAAACAGGTGGCTGCCAATCCCTCAAATAGTTCATCCCTGTCCTTCAGTAGGCTCCCTTTTTCCCTGGGCTACTAGGATCCCACACTCATCTGACTTTCATCTTCCTGACTTCTCAGTTTTTGCCACAGTTCTTACTCACCTCCCTGACCTGGAACAGCGTGTGCCTCAGCACTCTGCTCTTGGCCCTTTCTTTGTTGTCTGCATGCTGTCTCCTGGGGATATTAGCCTGTTCCTTGTCTGTAAAACCTACTCACATGGTGCCTCCTCCCAAATTCACATTGTGAGCCCAAACCTCTCCTCTGAGCTGCGGGCCTGTGTATCCTGCTCCACTCCTCTGCCTGGGTGTCTAACAGGTAACTCAAGCCAGCCTGTCCAGACCCGAAGTCCTGAGAGTCTCCCATAAACCAGCTCCTCCCACAGCTTGAGTCCTAGTCAGTGGCCGTTTCATCCTCTCAGTTACTCAGTCCAAAAGCCTTATCATTATTGTCTCATTTCTCTCCTTCTCCTTCCATATTTGGTCCTGTTGCAAATCCTGTCAGTTCTATTTGCAAATTATGTGCAAAATCTGGCAGTTTTCATCACATCTGTCACCACCAGCAGGTCCAAGTCCTCCTGTCTCTTACTGTCAGCTTCTTGACTGTGCTTCTGTGACCTCCTGCTTCTGCTCATGCTCCCCACAGCCCCTTCCCTATGAGCAGCCAGAAGGGTCTATTCAAACATGTCACTGTGTGTCACACTTCGTAGGCAAGGATTTGGGGCAGTTTTGCCCAAATGTTTGATACAGAAAATATTTGGTGGATGAATGTTTGAATATAGTCTTAAAGTTCTCTTGTGGCCAGTGTTTTGATATTTAGTGTAGTGTTAGAATAGTCATTCTTATACCTGAAAATGTGCTTCTTCCCTGATTTTGTTTTTCTGTTTTGTTTTTTGCTTTTAGAGACAGGGTCTCACTCTGTCACCCAGGCTGGAGTACAGTGGCACAGTCATAGCTAATTGCAGCCTCAAACTCTGGGCCTCAAGCAATCCTCCCATCTTGGCCTCCCAAGGAGCTTGAATCGTAGGTGTGAGCCACCATGCCCAGCCCCTGATTATAAGCAATCCTCCCATCTTGGCCCTCCCAAGGACTTGTATCGTAGTGTGAGCCACCCATGCCCAGCCCTGATTATTTTTGGTGTGGAAATACATTCTAGAATTTTATCTTTTCCTCATGGATTAAGGTTTCCTAAGCTTATGTAGAATCAGAATACTTCCTAAAATTATTATTTTTGGATAGAAACAGCAGTTGGGTGCCTCAAAAAAAGCTATAATTAAAAATTCCATGCTTTGAAAAATGCATGCTTTGAAAAAATGTACACTCATGAGGAAAAATAGTTAATTACCAAAATAAATGTTTATTCATATGTTTCAAAGTTAACTGAATTGAATTGACAAATCTTTTTAGTGTATTTTTCTATAAACGTATTCAGGGTGTTCAATTCCTTTTCTATGAATTTCAACAGAAATATATTTTTCTGTAAGTGTAAAGTTGCTTTTATTTTTGTTGGTTTGTAATTCTTTAATGTCTCTAATCCTTGTGTGTCTGTGTGGTGTTTATATTGATATGTAATTATGTAATAATATGTAATATATGTATATATAATACGAAATATATGTAATTGTTTGCATATATAATATATATATTTTTATATAATAAAACATGCAATACCACATAGATACTATAATATATATAGCACATATATTACATACATATATAATATACATACATATATAATATATATTAATCTATTATATATTATATGTATATGTTAATATATTTTTATATATGTATATGGTATATATATAATTTTTTTTATAGGGATGGGAGTCTCACTGTTTTGTCCCAACTGGAGTATACTTGGCTATTCTTCAGCACACGAACTGTCAGTGTGCTACAGCTCAAACTCACTGGGGCAAAGGAATCCTCCCTGCCTAGCCTTCTGAGTAGCTGGACCTATAGGCATGGTCCACCATACCCAGTTCATTATGGTATTAAGATGAGTTAAACTGTACATCAGATGCCTATATCAGGAGTAAGTTCTGTGCCTGTAATAATGTTTCCTTCTGTGTGTATAGTGTAACAAATGTGAAACCGTTTTGAAGTCCTGCCTGATTATGTCCGCAGCAACAAGGAATAAGAACAGGACCTGCACCATTTGACAATGTTTTTGTCCTCCATCTATAAGTAGTTTGATGGAGACCATCAGTTAAGGGAAAGTTCTTTTTTATTTTATCTGAAAACGTGTTTTTCTCCTGGAAAACTTGGTTCACTGTCAGGGTGAATGGATTACTAAGTATTATATCTGGCTTATTATCAGAGTGGGGAAGTTTTAAATAGAAGTAGAATGGCAAAGTGGGTCAAAGGTCCAATGGACTCAAGGTCACCTGCTAGCTCTAGCGATCTAATCAACTGCATACCTCAGGCCAACTCAAAGTGACCACATTTCTTCTATCTATAAAGATGAGGAAAATAATTAAGAACCTGCCTCCAAGCATTCTTGTAAGGATTAAGTTGTGTATAGTGCACTGAAACCGAGGTACTGGCACACAGTAATGACTACAGTGGTAGGGCAGCATCCTCATTCACCATGGACGTTTTAGAAAATTTACAGGCAAGACACTTAGATGGCGTACTTTAAAAAAAAAGTGGTGTAATATAGGAAGAACAGAACTGGGGGCAAATTATGGCTGATGGGCCAAATCCGCCCACCACCACCTCCTTTTTGTGTGGCCCCACAAGCTACAAATGAGTTTTACATTTTTCAGATGGTTGATAAAAATCAAAAAGAAGAATACGTTGATAATTAAATGAACAGTCAATTTTTATGTCATAAAAAAAAATTCCATTGTAGCACAACATACTTTTTGTTTATAATATTACTGTGTATTGCTTTTTGTGCACAAGTGGCAAAATTGAAGAGTTGTGCCGAGGCCATGGTGGCCCACAAAAGCCCTAAAATATTTACACTTTCTGGCCTTTACAGAAACACTCTTGCTGACACCTGAAGTGGAGGTTAAGGAGTCATGGACTGTGGAGTCAGACCCTGGTAAACCCCAGCTCTACAGTTGACTGACTGTTGATCCTGGGCATGTTACAGCTCAGTATTTCCTCATCTGTAAAATGGGAATAGTAAAGTAAACTGACTATTAGGATAATGTCGAGATTAAATAAGCTTAATATATTAAGTATAGTGGAATAGTGTCTGAAGTGTTTAAGTGCTTTCGCATTGTTTATTGCTGTTTATTTATAGTAAAAACATTTTAAAAACAAAAGTCCATTGATTCTGTACATAAAGAGCTGTTCGAAAAACAGAAAATGTCTTAGGAGGATGTATGTATGTTGCTAAATTGGGCTCCATCTACATGGATTTAAAATTGAAGGCATTTACAAACCAACTGATAACAAAAGCAGATCATAATGCATAAAAGGATCAACCCTGGGAAACTAGGGTTGATTTTCTTGCAAGCCAAATAAGTTCCTCTCTTTTATGCCAAGTGCTTCCAACCTTGCAAAATTATTGCTGAGAGCTGACCAGCATTTGTTTTAGACTAGCTTGCTCAGGTAGCCAATATTAGTGGTGTCTTTTGCTCAAGGACATTAAGCAGTTCTTGGCTGTTTCCTGCAAGTATTAACCTCGTGGTTTACACTGCAGGGGGCCCCCTTTCAGTCCCCCAGCTTAGGAGATTTTCTCCCTCATGAGTTTACCATCGAGAGTGTAGCCTCTGCGTTGACTGATTCCCACTGCCTCTGCAGTTGATCTTCACTCAAATCGGGATATCCACTTACAACCTTTTTTGACATTAATCTTTACACAATTCAGTTTAAAAATGTCCTTAATAGTTTGGTAGCAGGTTAAAGAACATGTGATTGTATATTATTCAAGCAGAAATTCAAACCTCAAAGGGACTTTTTGTTTCTAGGAGATAACATGTGAAATCTTTAAAAGGTTCAGCCTTTTGGGTTGGTGTTGGTGGTTTGTTAAGTGAGGTATTTAAATTAGGTTTGTGTAGTCAGATGCAGCATGTGATGGGAACAGTCAGAGCAGAATGGCAAAAAGATTATTTATTACTCGCAGGATTCCAGAGAACGTGAACCAGCACACCTTGCCAGGGCTTTACTGGAAGGCCCCAGAGACTTCAAGACACACATGAACCCAGCCAAAGGGTGGGGGACGCAAGAGGGAGGGAGGGACCCTGTGGGCTGGAGCCTTTTATTGGGTCAGGGCAATCATCCTTAGGTGTGTTTTCAAGAAGGGTTGGCTTTGATACTTTGAAGGGAGCCTCAAGGCTCAGTAAGGGAACTTGAAGTTTTACATTATCAGGTTCACCAGGCTTTCATGCAGACGTACAGTGTCAGTTCATATATGGGGCCTTTTTCCTATCTAGAACATACAAATGGGGACTGGGCGAGGACTGCCTGAAACATACAGGTCAAGGGTGACAAAGCAGAGGGAGCATCCCTATGAATGAGAGTTATGACAAGTCAGCATCATCATAATCATGTTCACTGCATGCTTCCGATTTGTGCCTTGCCACCGTTCTAAGTCTGTGTATGGTATTGCCTCAATTTAATCCCAAAACGTAATCTATAAGGTTAGTATTGTGTGCGCTTTTCCCATTTTAT